AATCAGGTTTAATAAGGGTCCAAGGTACATTTGGCAGGTGATTTACATCAAGAATTTTGAATAGTAAGTTCCACGTCAAGATTGGTTACAAATCTGTCCAAAATGAGGGTTTTAAATCATTGAGTTAGTTTCGGATTTCGGCCACAACTCACTCAATTCAACTTGGAATCAAGTGTGGTCAGTAGAGTTGAAAACTAGATTCATAAAGCTACATTTTCTTAGAAGAAATTATTTTCAAAATCTGTCCGTAGCTAGCTCATATTTGAGCATCAATTCGCTGCTCAAAACAGAGCCACCAGAGTAGACGCAAAACAGGACAGTCATGTTCAAATGATTGGTATGGACTATTCAGGTGGAATCAGAATGTACATTTTATACCGTTGAAAATCTGGGAATGTCTAGTTTCCATTGCCGCAAATGGCACTCGATTTTGATATTGGAGCAAAAAGTTATAGCTAAAACAAAAACATTGCCAGAGCAGTTACGGGAAAGATTTCCAGTTTTGCTGATTTTCGAAAATACATCATTTGGCCAACCAAATCATGAAATTTTTTGATAAAACTTTCTACACAACCTATACTACACATATACATCAGAAACAAGTCATTAGAACCACCAAAAACCGTCCTAAAGGCCACGGGAATGACAGGGGCAGAATCGGAAAATTTCCATCTTCACTCCCTTTGATCTTTCATCCACAATATCACTCATTTCTACTAATTTAAGCACTAAACCAACATTAATAACACCATAACTCACATCTAACCATAGTGGGAGTTCATAGAGCCCACACATCAACTTTTCAACATAAATAGAGCTACCCACATGCATGCATGAACTTATACGTGCAATAGAACTTCCATAAACTAAGAATTTCAAGGTTGATCATTGATTACCTTAGTTGATGACTTAAGCAGAAATTTTGGTCCTCTTAGAGCTCACAAAAATCGTGAAATGAAGTCCTTTTTCTAGCTTAAGATGCTCTCCAAGCGATTAGCAAAGTGTGGTTGAAGTTTGAGGTGATTTAGTGATGATTTAGTGAAGAAATGAAGAAGAATTTGGAGCTGTTTTTCTTCCTTGTTGTTCGGCTGTTTGAGTGAAGGAAAAGAAGAGATGTTGTTGATGGTAAGCTTCCGTGAGAAGCTTTAAAATTTGTGGCCAAAAATTGCTTCAAAAATCAACTAGGAATAGTGCGCGTACGTGCGCGTTTTGTGCTTGATTTCTCTCGGTTTTGTTTCACTAGTGCACTAAATCTCTAATACACTTCCATTCATATTATTATTATCCACTCTTATGGGTCTAAAAATAATGGTCTAAAGTCCCTCAATTAATCGCGCGCATAAAAACGCGTACTTCCTATTTAAGTGCGATAAAGTGAAACTTCCAAGAAATTCTTATAACGATAGTATCACTAACTAATAATTGAGCACTTAAATATAAAAATACCTATTTTGAAACTAATGTACAAGTCTCCCATATTTCCAAACTTATTGTATCCTCGAATCGATTATCGACTCCAACCGTGTATTCACTATTTTCACTTAACGACCTTCAAAAATTAAATTTTAAAACAAGTCGCTTTAAAAATATAACTAAGCTATAGATCCATATAATTAGGTTTAAAAAGGTTAGAAAATAATATTCAAGGCAATTGGCCAAATAAATAATTAAATGAGCTTGAATTAGGAGTTTTAAATAAATAAATTTTGTGAGTCTTCACATGAGTCTTGTATTATTTCCTCAAATCTCCAATAAATTTGTATCAGCGCGTCTTTCGGAAAATTATCTACGCGCAAGCGGTATATACTTACTTAGAACTCATTCACCTTTAATTTCTCAATTAACTTTTCTTAATCTACTATTGATCATTCTGAATTCCCCAAGATAAATGCACTCTCGAATAGAATATCACCTTGAAACACATGTACTCATTATTCCTTACTTAAACGAACCTCCGAAAATTAAATTTGCTAACGGGACGTTTTAAAAACATAAAGAAGACATTGTTCCATATGAATAGATTTAGAATGGTTAAAATAAATTATTTGGAGAAAACATGTGAATAAATATTTAAATAAATCAATAATACTCGATAAAAATAAGAATTTTTTTTTTTGGGTTCTCACACTAGGGAATTGAGGAATTTTAAATTTTTAGATATGATTCTAAAATTCCAATTCCGATAGTAGTAATCCAAACAACAATTATGGGATTTATTTCAATTCTCCATTCCGAGACCCTCTTACCAAACGCCACCTTAATCTTTGCCCTATTAAGTGTTAAGTTTTGAGTACTATATTTTTTATTAAAACAAATTGGGGGATTGTTGGATATTTTAATAAAAAAAAATCACATGTTTATTTTGAATTCAAACACAATAAATCACAAAATGTTCAATGAATTTTTAGCTACAAATAAAACCATTCAAATGTGTAACTTATGTCTTTAAAATGAGATTTATGTCTTGAATTGTGTAACCTATGTAATGATTAGATTTTTGAATTCATTTAGTAAATTTTTACCGTTATACAATGAATTTAGACTTTTCAATTTGCAGCTAAATTATGAGGTGTTAATTCCTTTTAATGTTGGTATTTTAATACTTCTAATTTCTTGGCCTATAAATAGAGGCATCTATCAACCAAATGAAAGATATACTTAGCCATCTCTAGACTATCTTCTACTTTTCTTACTCTCACTAAAATTGGATTTTATAGAGCAAAGAACATGTTGTGTGAGGTTTCTGTCTTAATCCAATAGTGTAGATTGGAGTAGGCTGTAGTGTGATAGACTAGGCTATTGTATCCTGTAGGTGACGTGTTGAAACCCATGACACCTAAGGATACTCCATGGGGACGCGAATCGTTTTAAAAAGGGCAACCTAGTTCACACCTCAACTCACGCCAAATTAACTTTTTATGCTACAAATTATTTGTATTTTTAGTGCAATATTGACCTATGAAATTTTTGTTAATATCTTTGTTAAATTTTATTAGAGACATTATTGTTACTTATATGATTTATTTTGGTCAAGAATTAGCAACTTCACTCTGGCTTTAACTTCAACTTTTCCTAAACATTTTCTCTTCATAGTTGAAGCATGTGAATCATAATCTATAGCCATCTCATATGAGTAATCAGCTTAGCAATTAGGCCTTACTAGGGACCAACTACTTTAGAGTACTTAGCCACCAGGGAGAGGTTTAAAACTCTTCTTAGATGTAAGTCAAAGGATCAAATTCTTTGACTTGCATTCTTCTCCACAATTTTCTGAAAATTTTTGGTAGTGATTCAGTCCCCTTCGGATTCCCCCATTGACCCCTTTGGATCTATCCCTTCCCCTTAATGTAGACTGTAGAGTAGAAATAGATGTAGAATAAAAATTATCGTGTCGTCAAAAAATTAGGCCTTGCTAGGAGAGTTGCTAGGGAGAAGGCCTATCACACAAGATCATAAATTTTGTACGGATTAGGGGCAGGAGCAGTCATCAGACGGACCGCTCCTGAATGTTCTCCTCACAAGCACAAACGTGAGGCGAGAAATGATCCACGTCAAAAAGCCTAAGCAGGGGAAAAAAATGACACCATTTCAAAAAAAAAATATTTAGCCCTAACGGGATCCGTTTAGAGCAAACGAAAGAATTGAAATTTTTAAAATCAAGTTGAAAATTTTAAGTAGCCGCACAAAAAAAAACTGAGAGAAGAGAATTTGAATTAGCCGCACAAAACAAATCTAAGGGAAGAGAGTAGGCTTCTTGCTGAAGGTAGCAATTGACAGGAAACTGGGTGGAGAGAGTTGGGGTATGGTGTTACGTGAATAAGGAAGAAAGCAAACAGTGTACTAAGAGTGTTGTATGCATTTTGAAACTGGGTATCCATTTTGAATGCATGTAAGGCAGGCAGCAAAGTAGAAGCAAACAGAGGAAATTGATCATCTCACATTGCCAGATTTGTCGTGCAACTTAATAGCAGAAGCAACTGTGCTCTCTGAGTTCAGTGAAACATAAAACGTATTAGCAGACCAAGGTAACATGACTGAACCATGTCAACAACTGTGGCCAATCATTTGTCATCCAGTGCACATTTGTAAAATAAATGATGAAATTAGAGTCATTAAAGACATAATATGAAGACGATAGAAGAATAGTGAAGTTGTACCATATATGTGTGTGTGTGAGCATTCAGCTTTTTAGTGATGGACTATATGGGATAGTAATTATCCGAAGACCCAGGAGTATGTATTCAAGTAAAGCGTCGAGCAGAATTAGGGAAAGATGAGAGAAACAAAGTTACATTTAATAAGTGAATGAATGTACATCCTATTGTAAATAAGTTACAGGTTATAGGCACCGCATTACAATTGATATGAATCATTGCGCATCCAGTAGTTGGTCCATGTTCATCACGCAATTTTAGTTTGCCCCTCTCCTGGCCATGCAGTGTATATAAAATGGAGGTGTAGATTTAAAGAGATGAAACAAAGGAAAAGATATATGTGAATAATAAATATGTATACTTAGTGTTGTAAGTAAATTATATGATGTAAGAAATATATTACAATGAGTAGAAAATGCTGATTTGGCCCTCAAAATGTAGAAATAGTACAAAATACGGAGTTGACTCGAGTGGTGGATACTAACGAATGACATAAGGTCCAATGAAATAAAGTACCTAGAACCTAAATATAATCACCATAGTGAATGTACATACTGTTAAAATACACTTACATCGTGTGACCAACACATTACAGTCCGTATAAATTAGTATACATAGAATTGTATTTGTACATAGATAATGCCTATGTCATAAAGGAAAAGTAAAGTGATATGAATCATTAATTATATTGATATACGTAATAATAGGATTTGGTATATAAGTAATGTCTGTAACATAACATATATTGTGAAACGATAATATATATTGTTGTCGTTTATGTACATACTATTCATGAATTGTTGCAAATTCAGTGTGTTTGATGAATAATTGGTAGGTGCAGAAGTAATGAATTGCAGCAAATTGGCAGGAGATGAGATCCCTGAATTAGGAATGGAGTTCAACAATGAAGAGGATGCATACAAATTTTACAACAACTATGCCTTTAAAATGAGTTTCAGCGTACGTAAAGACTATGTAAATAAAGACAAAGACGGTGTGACCACGTCTAGGAGATGCTGCAAAGAAGGTGTGAAACGTAAATACAAAGGTGATTTGATGCCAAAAAGGACACGGGCGCCGACGAAAACAGGGTGTGGAACTAATATGATTGTTGTGTTACATAGCGAGACAATGAAATATCGTATGCATGACCTTGTCTTAGAGCATAACCATGAGTTGCACATTGCTCAATGTTCACACATGATGCCATCACAAAGAAAAGTGAGTGGGGCTCAAGGATTCCAAATTGAAATAAGCGAGGATGCCGGGCTTTCACTGAAACAAAGCCATGAGCTTATGGGAAAGGAGGCAGGTGGGATGGGTAACGTGGGATATATTCGGGATGACCCTAAACGATATCTTAGTACGAGACGGAAAAGGAGCTTGCAATATGGAGAAGCAGGTAGCATGCTAAATTATTTTCAAGAGCAAACACTCGAAAATCCATCCTTTTTTCATGTCGTACAGCTGGACTGTGAAGAGCAGATAATGAATATCTTTTGGACTGATGCACGAATATTAATTGACTACAAATTTTTTGGAGACGTAGTCATATTTGACACAACCTACAAAACAAATAAAGAATACCAGTCACTTGAAGTATTTGTAGGTTTTAACCAACATAGGCAAATTGTGATATTCGGTGCTGCCTTTATGTATGATGAGACGATAGATTATTTCAATTAGATGTTTGGTACATTTCTAGAAACAATGTGCGGAGAGCATCCAAATACCATACTAACCGACCAAGATCACGCCATGGCAGCTGCTCTTTCACTTGTCATGCCCCAAACAATTGACGATCTATGTACATTTCACATAAGGTGATAAGAAAAATAGTGACCTACCACACATGTTTGGTGCCTTCATTTATGAGATCGAAGAAGTGGAACAATTCAACAGGGTGTGGGAGGCGATGGTGAAGAAACACAATTTTGAAAATAATGAATGGCTTTTCGAATTGTATCAAATTCGCAATAAATGGGTAAGGTGCATGATGAAAGAAAATGGACCACGAGAATGCGAAACACCCAACTTAGTGAAAGCCTAAATGCAGCAATTAAAAATCATTTGAAACTGGACCATGACCTTGTCCAATTCTTTAGACATTTCAATTGCGTATTTGATGAAAAGAGACATAATGAATTCACCGCAAAATATGAAATGAGGCAAAAGCTCCCCATGGTAGAGTTGGGGCAAACACCTATGTTTGTGCATGCATCAAAGACGTATTCACCTACAATATTTGTTGCATTTAAAAATGAATATGGTGAGTCAACAGCTATGGTTATAGTGGGACAAGAAGATGCAAGGATGTTTGTGAAGTTTGCTATGACAGCCCCACCTCACCCTAAGGCGAGCCAAAGGGTTCGACGGACCGCCTGCCCAGTTCTCGCTAGGATTACGGAGTCAAATCACTTAAAACCCTACAACCGCGCACCAGAATCCAAAGAAAACAGGCAATTGGAGACCACCAAACCAAAATAAAACTTACCAAACCATACGGACACCAGAAGTGTTCATCCAGCCAAGTAAAAATACCATCTCAACAAGTACTCTTAATTTACATGGTTAATCTCTTTAATAAATACAAACACTAAAAGGTTTAAAAGTTTAACAAGTGATACAAATTGGAATATTCACGAGGGATCAACGTACAATTAGGGTTTCAACTACAGAGGTGCTATACAAAAGAATAACTAGAGCTCGCTCTACTTCTTTCTTCAAAATCATGGTTCAAAAGTATTGTTCCCTGTAAGGAAAACAAAAAAATAACGGGACGGGGTGAGCTAGAAGTTCAATGAGGTACCAAAATTATAAACAGTAGAAATCATGAGAAATCACTTTTAAGGCACTTATTCACATCAAATACGAGAAATAAATGAACACCACAATATGAAGGATACAGGTGGCTCTCAAGAGCCAAATTCCCATTTTCTTCACCGAAACTTGATCGAAATAATAGTTGACACTCCGTCAACGTTAAAGAAGTAACCAATACCGTAGACTCCAATTTTTCCGATTCCTTCCACCTCACATACCCCTACCGGGCCCGAAATCCAATCAGTTCAGAAATGGTAATACTCGAGTATACCGGAATCAAGGGTTTCAATACCCAAAGATCCCAAAACAGACTACCGTGGTTCGTTATCTAATCGACCAGACCCTTGCCGGCCCGACTTAAGTAACTAGCCACAGGTGTTGAGCTCAGAGGTTACAGAAAGGTCGTTGGATACAAGCCTCCAAACGACGTCCGAACAAATACAGATACAGATACAGATTCAGATACAGATACAGATAACAGTTTCAGATTCGCATCAAAAATTGGCATATGAACAGACAAGAGAACGAGTGTGATAAAGTACACCCTCGTCTCAAACAAAATAAACAGATAGTTCAGTCATTCATGTCACAGATTGCATGTACAGAGACCGAGTTAAACCCAAGTGAGGGAAGTGGTACATTCACCAGTTCAAATAAGGATAACTTCAAAAGTTTCCTTCCCAAGTGTGGCTTTAATCGTCGGCACCTCCTAGAACAATCAAGGCAAACACTTAAGACTCGACTCCAAGACCTAGTATGAAATTCGCAAGTGAGACCCGGTTACGAGCCATATGCCTAGTCAAAAGAACCATTAATGCAAAGCAAAGAGGTGACCTCAGAGTGAAAAGTTAACAATTAGTCTTAAAGGCATGAACAACCTCAAAACTCTACCTACAGTGATTGGCCAACTCCAAATTTGAAATAGAAAATGAAAGTAAGGTCAATACTAGAAAAACAGGATTTTCCAGTTTCGCGCAACCCTATATGAAAAATCATATCTCAAGTTTTGTAAGTCCAAAATTAATAAAGCTTATACCTTTGGAAAATACATTCAAAGGGCTATAAATTTCCAGAAAACACCATTGTAAGACTCGGAACGCAAGTCAGTCAAATTCAAGTCGCAAGTCGCTGCTTTATCCAGTGGAAGACAGAACATGTACAATATTTCAGTCAAATTTGAAAAATCACCATAAATTGGACAGACAGAAACAGGGTCTGAAATTTACATGGTTTATAGCCCTATGAATCTAGTTTAAAACGCAACAAACGGAACTCAATTCCGACATTTCTACATCAAGATGTAGCAAATCTCCCAAGACTGCACAGAAGCTCCTGCAAACATTTGGACAGCACTTCCCCTTGTCTTTCTTTACTTTTCCAACCAAACCTCAACACCCAATCACAAACTATCAAGCACCTTTAATTAGAGCCACAATACCCTTCAAAACAACCAAATGGTATCTCAACAAAGAAACCCTAGAAAAGCCCCAATTATAAACCTTAAAACCAAAAGACAGTTTTTGACGTCACTTAGCGGAAAGGACACAACTGGAGCTACACTTATCGGATTGGGGCGAAATTTACACCGTTTCGAAGCTAAGAGAAAGGGCCACAATGTTGAAGAAGGCCACTCAGTCCAGTTTGCAATGTATCTAGGTCAAATTTACCAAAATAACTCCAGATTTTCCAATTCTAAGTTTACTGTAGCAGTCTTGATTCATTCAGTCATATCTCAGCATATACAACTCTAATTCAAGTGATTCCAAAGCCATCCAAAAGCTAAGAGTCCAGGATATATTTCTTAAGAAGGCATTAAAAACCAAATCAGCAGTATTCCTGGTTAAAACCACCAATTACAGAAGCTGATTAACATGTTCGGGTAGAAGCAGGGCAGCATGGGTATTTCGGTCTTTTCATAGGGTACGTTGCTCTGATTGGCCTGAAATTTTGCAGGATACTATAAAACATCATTCTCTACAACTTTCATGTTTTGTGCTAAGGCTAAATCGGCCTCTAACTAGGTGTAACAGTACCGGGCAGAATTGAAGTTTGAATTTCCAGAAATCTGAAATTTGGGCTATTAGTGCATACCACTACTTTTCTTGCTTCATCCTTTCATTGCTTTCCTCTTAACTAACATACCAAGTGTTAACTCTAACTAAAACCATGAATCAAAGCTTTAACAATTAATCAAACATATGGTAGGCCACTTAACCAACCCAACTACCACTTCACTAATTCAAGAGATTTAGCCATAGGAAGCATCCATACAACTTCTAGTTTACCCTCAAACCTTTAAATACTTAATATAACACCATAAAAGCAAGGATTAAAGATCACATACCTCTCTTACAAGTTGATTAAGTCACCCAAAACAACCACCAACCAAAAGCTTCAAGGCTTGAAGATCACACACTAGAGTTGGATGGATTTCACTCACTAACTCACTCCTTCACTTTTGATTTTTTTCCTAACATTAAACTAAGAGTAAAAAGCAAGAAAATTGAGTTTCTTCTTCTCCTTTGCTGCTCCAAGATGGCCGGCCAGCTTATGAAGGAAATGGAGCTAAAAAAATGGTTTTAATTCATCAAATTCTTTGGTCAAATAAGTTACATGGTTGGTGTCTTGCCACTTGGCACCATCTTGGCCATTCTCTCACTAATTTTTGCCAAATCATGTTCCTATCCTCCAATTCTTTCCCTTATCTTACTAACACCTAGTAAATTAATTCATGTATACAAAACTTAACCTAATTGACTGAATTTTATCCAACTTACAGCACTAGTGGGTCCCACATCCAATATACACTCTTAAAATCTTATAAACTAACTTATACTCGGAAAAAATGATTTCAAAACCATCTTTACTCATAAAAATTATTTTCACAATTTTTTTTGAATAAATAAAATGTGGAAAAGCGTGCAATTAATAGAAAATGAAACCTAGCAATTAAGAAAAGTACGGGTTCTCACATTTGTAGTCATGAGGTATGATGGAGGACCTGAAAGAACAGTGGCATTCAATCGGAATGATCTAAGTGTGCATTGTAGTTGTAAAAAATACGAGAATGAATGAATTTGTGTGAGCACGCGTTGAAAGTATTTGATACCGTGAGGATAAAGACAATTTCTCCTGAATATGTTAGGAGGCGATGGACAAAAAGAACTCGAACTGGAGACTTTTTGATCGGTGAGGACGAGAAATTGTGACTGATCCAAAAGTAATCATTTCAACTCGTTATCGGGAGCTTGATCCAGCCATGATTAAGATTGTTACTCGAGGAGCAATGTCGGAGGAGACCAACAAACTTGTAATCACCGTCATATCAGATTTGGCAAAGAGAGTTGAACTCCTCTCAGAAAAAGAAGAGTAAATTTTACAAAATCATAAAATTATGAATGTGGAGGAACGTGATCAAATTCAATTTGTAAATGAAATGGGAGAGGTAATAGTCGCAAGAGGCATTAAAAAGCGTGCTGGTGGGAAGAGAAGTAAACTAATGTGAAGTTGGGTCGATAAATTCGACAGATTAAAAAGAACATCTAGATTGTCAAAGACTACACAGGCTACGGTATGGATCCAATTTTTATGATGGTAAACATTTTTGCTAAAACAATGTTATCATGGTACTGTTAACTAACATTTAGATACCATTCATTATGAAATAACATTATTGCCGTGTGAATAATACCGGTCTCAGAATCGGAGCCGACATCGGTTTCATTTGATCGACTGATGTTTATGGGATGTCGTTCATCTACTGACTCAGTTTCGCTTAGTATAAAATGGTCATGGCTTTAAATCTTATTTGGATATTTCTAACAGCATAATTAGTTACATTATGTGATAATTTTGTTACGCTT